AACGATGAAAGTAGCGTGAGCCTTGAGGGCAGCCGCGGTGTTCGAGACTTACCTGTTGGCGTGCGCTGCTCATCCTATCGATGGAAAACTCTCTCTCTCTCTCTTTCTCTCTCTCTCTCTCTTTCTCTCTCTCTCTCTCTCACACACACACACGCACACGCGCACGCACACGCACATACACACACCAATACAAATACATACATACACACACACACACACACACACACACACACACACACACACACACACACACACACACACACACACACACACACACGCTGGGAGTCAGTCCCCTGAAAAAAACCCTTCGGTTTTTTGACCAACCTCTTTCAATTTTTAAGTTTTGGCTTGTTCAAAAAAAACTTTTTTTCCCCAATATTTGTTATTTAAGGACTTTTACCCTCTTAGGAGAAGTTTTTTTTAATAAGAGACCTCTTTAACCTCTTCCATGCGTAATTGTTTTTTAAGTTAAAATCCTTTCGGGTTTATTTTAATATAGGGGGTAGGCCCCCGCAGAAGAAGCCTGTCCAGTTTTTTCCCCTCACTAGTTGTATCCCTTTATGGTCCCCCGAGGAGTTTCCAGAGCTCGGACCCTATATAGCCTACCGAAAGGGCAAGCCCCCAGAGGTAGGCCTGGCAATCCGGGTTGGAACCAAATGGATTAATTCCTATAGGTCGGCGGACCCCCCCGCTCCCCGACTATTTTAACAATCAATAGGAGTACCATTCTCCTCTGAGCTCTACGGGGCGGAACCACCGCTACCGAAAAGGATGTCGCAACCCGTCGACGAAACGCTACTGTTTTCTCCCGGCGGAACTGCGCCGTCCTCCACCCTTCGTCCGCTACAGCCGCGCGTAATTTTCGTTGATCTCCTACTCTTCCATCTGCTATGACCGCGCACTCTCTTCCTTGTACGCTCCTCTGGAAACACCATGGCGAACTCCCTCACGACGGTTGAGGAGATGCTGGACGCTGAGGACCTGCTCCAACCCTCACAGTCCAGCTCGGTAATGCCTCCGTCTTGATATTTTACCCCCGCTTTTTTCCCTTTCCCCTCGACTTCCTCCGCTCAATGATGGTGTGGATCTGCAGCTATTACTAGCAAACGTGGGTGATTGTGCTATCTTCATCCCCTCTGATGAGCTGTTCAGTGGCCAAACAACGAAAAGCTTGCTTTAGGGACTATTAGCTACTACTCCCTAGCCAATACACCCTGCTTCCCTAGCTGGACTTAGCATCCACCCTGTTTGTGGTTGACATGATGAATGGGTCCTGGGAAATAGCTTATGAGAATTCACACAAATTTCGTATGTCCCGGGTACGATTCTTGCGTTCCGTTATTCGTTGATAACTTACCCACGTTTCCCCCATCTCTGACTTGATGTTTTGTTTTGATGTGATGTGCTGACCTAGGAGATGATAGGTAGACCCGTGAAGAGATTGAAGATATAATCGAGGAAGCAAGTATGACCAGCAGCGGGTCTAGAGGCTTAGTGCCGCTCCACACCATGGATGCGGATTTCGCCATTGCAATCTCTGCTTGCATCACCGCCTTCTTGATGGCTTTTCTTGCTTACCTTGCCTTTCTGGAGTCGAGACGTGATCTCGCCGGTTACCGATCACATCGTTTGAGGATGATTACACACGAAGGGGTTGTGGGATGGGTCGTGTGTCTGACGAGCTACTCGGATTGTTGATGCAGTGGTTTTGGAGGCTTGTGAGTGAACAGTCATATATAATTTTGAATGTGGTGATTGCCCTTCTTCGCAAGCATATGAGAGCGTGTTGCTTGTGATGAGTCCCCCGCTTTGAGGGGTCGTGTCGAGGATTGCGCCGTGGGCTAGATAGTGTTGGCATATGGGACGTAATGGGACGCGAGGGGTTACTGGTGTAATGGATGGTCGACCTTGGAGCTTTGGGTAATACTCTTCTAAGTGGACATTTGATTCTGTGGTTACGAGAGGATTTCTGCTCCGTTAAAAACTCTTACCTCTCATCTGAATATGTAATTACTCTCTAGAAGTTGTGGTGAATGTTCCTTCCAAAAACTGTATGTTGATGAAGCTCGGAGTTACCAAATGGCCCGAATAAGGAGTTCTGCGCTCATCATTCTGTCTGTAGATGATTTGTGAGGCGTTTGCCCCCTACGATCATACTAGGTTTGTTTTTTGTGTAACAACAATCGGGTGCTGCCGTTAATCCCGAAGTAATCAGGGTTCTCGCGTGAATCTCTGTGTATAAAGCGACTCCGTTTGAGCTTTCATAACTGAAGCACCGAGGTGTTGTCCTAGTTGCATTTCTTGGCTTTTTTGTCGCTACCTTCCCAATAAGTGATGCCCCCCTCCCTTTACCTAGAGCTCTCAGTGCCTACTCGAGCGTGAATTGATCTTTGAAAACGCACTCTCCGGTGACATGTCTAGTCTCTAGGACTGGGTGGTTCCATGAGTCATCGTGCTGGTTGGAGTGCAGTAAAGGTCTGTCCGGTGTGAAGCTTGGTCGCTGGGGTGATGTTTATATGTTCTCTACACACACACACTCCTAGGGTAAGTAGCCCTATGCGGGGTCCCCCTAAGGGATGAAACCCCTTATCTCACTCTGGCCACCTTTGCTTGGAACTCCTGTTTGCATTGGTCTTTTATGGATCTCGCCTTTGGTACTTAGGGAACTATATTATAGTACCGTAATTGTGTTTGTGAAGTAACACCGTATGTTGTCCCGTGTGTTTGTTTCAGGGCCAAGCATACACGGTCGGATGGCATCAGGAACTCATTATGGGGGAAAGAGGGTGGCTCATTGCATTTCCTCCTATCCCGGCCCCTATCCAATCCTTGATAACCATTGCACCCCGTGATGTGATGGTCTTGGTTAGGAACCGGTCAATCTCCACCTTACCCGACTCCTTCCCATTGATCCAATACCTGTCTTCGGACTGGTGTGATCTCATCTGGACCCACAAGCACAACAGAAACTCGTCTGTCGATCTCGTCAATGAGAAAGTGGCGAACATCCCCCGAATCAGGGAAGAGGGCCTACATGAGGATAGAACGATCGAACATGCATCTCTTGACTTGGAGCACGTTTTCATCCGACTTTGGGGAGCACAGTCCGAATATCACAAAAAACGTGCCTGTAGCATCGGCTTGGAGAAGAAGGAGGTAGTCATGTCTGATGATGAGGAGGATGAGGAGATGACGGAGGTGGAGAGGGTCTTTTTGAGGAAACAGAAGGAGGAGAGAATGTTAGCAAGGGCGGCGCTCAAGAAGTCGGAGAAAAAGGTAGAGGTGTCGAAGTTCACTAGGAATGCATTCCTGCCACTCGCGTCGTCCAGATGGGTGGAGTCGATGAGTCTCGCTTTTCAGAATCGCCTTTGGTCTTTAGATACCTTTAACCACTGTGCGCCTTTCGGTGTCTCGGGCTTCCGCTTCATGGCCAAGGCTATGGAAGCGGAACTGCAGTACTGTCTTAAGAGAGCGTTAGACGATGTCCTAGAGTTACCCAACGCGAAGTTGCCTTTTAAAGGCGACGGGGTCAATTTTCCCCCGATGCACGAGATCGACCCAACCAAGTGCCGACATCCAGAACCGTTCATCGCGATGAAGAGCAATGCCCCTCCCAGGAATTCGAATGCGTTGAACGAACTCAAAAAGGTTTGGAATTATGGTCGCTTGTACTTTAAATGCAAATGCGCGTCAATCTCGGGCACGGACTGCGGAGCCGGCCCTGCATGGTTCAATCATTTTTTATGGTACGTTTTTGCTAACGGGGATGTGTTTTTCCCTACTGGTCCCACGCTCAGAGCGAGGGTTAGGAATATGCTTGACCACCTCGCTGATAGCTGGAGACCCTTGATCCGCGCGTCTATCACTGTCCTGCATATGCGGGATATCATGATGACCCTGGCCACAACCATTATCGAGGATCCCTCGAAAAGTCCTGCCGCAATTCTGCAAGGACAAAAATGGGCAAACAGGAAGTTCCCCAAGACCTGTGCGAAGATGCTCCTCCCATCGAAGTATGTGGAGAAGAGGAAGGAGGTTGGATCTTCCAACCCGAGGCCGGGCAAGAAGCAGAAAACGATTGCAGAGGCCCTGGCCCCAACTGTTAAGCCCTGTGAGGAGGTTTCCACGGTCGATCCCTCCACCCCCCCTGTCGCCACTTCTCCCTCCTCCTCATCCCCCCCTAACTCTACTCTCACTACTGTTGGCGCCACTGGGATGAGGGTTTCGCTTCCGCCTTTGGTCATCAAGTCTCCAACGAGGAGGAGCCCCAGGCTTGCTTTGGTCTCCAAGTTCAAGGATGCATAAGCACTCATCAGGTACCTTGTTTATTGTTTATTGTTTATTTTTTGTGCAGAATACAGGGGGATCCCTGGTCCCGGGACCTTCGGGCAGAATGAGATGGAGGTCGAATGAGAGCTCTCATGCGAAGGAAACTTACTTCCATATCCGTTATGTAAACAAGGTCATGGAGAGGGTTAATCTCAGGCTGGTTATGGAATCTGTCCTCCAATGCTACGTGGGGGTCCCTGTGCTTTCAGTTTTTGCGGGGGCAATGTTTGGATGGGTATACGAGGATGCCATTGCAAAAACCATCTACAGACCGGCTCAGGTGTTTAGGAACTTCCATTTAAGGGAATGGTATGAGACTATGACTGAAGCCGAAACCTGTCCTTGTACCTCCAAGAGGTTTTCCCCTTTTCACTGTCACAGTACGGTAAGCATGGCACAACCCACACCTGTCCCCTCCTCTCATGTCTTGTCCCTCAACCCCAGGGTTGGATCTACCCCAAAGGTCGAGAGACTCCTCAGCCTGGGCATGAACCACATCCCCCCCCTTCCCCTTTGCCCTCGTGCGGCCCTGAGAGAATATGAAAGGGTGGTTCGGAAGGTTATGACGTGGCTAACCAGTAGGGTGTTTATCCTACCTGCTTTAGTCAAGAAGATTACCATGGAGGTCATGGAAAAACTGAGCAATCTGCTTCAACAGCGACACTCCCAAGGCATATGCCGGACACAAAAAGTTATGGATAGTCCGCAGTTCAGGTTTGAAGTGAATTTCCTCACCTCCTCGTTGTTCGTCGCTGGTACAGATAAAACCTCTAACACCCCGTTCTTTGTCTGCAAGAACCTCATTAGGGCTCTTGCCTTGGAGAGACTCAATTGCCCTAATTTTTGCATCTGTAAGTGTTCCACCCAGGAGATTGTTGAGGAAGCAACAATATCCCTTTCCACCTTACTGCCTTCCTTGCAGGTCGAAAACAGGGAAGTCCCCTACATCATGGCCATCTTCAAACAACATAAAGGTACGTTCAGATGGTTGGCAAATGCTGCGTCTACCTTCCTGACCGTCCCAACCACTTTGTGTGATGCAGTCCTGAAAACCCTTACTCCCTTTGTCATGACACATTGCAGCGAGATCATGGGTGCTGCTAAAAGATTTCAATGGGTGGATACCCATCTCTGGCGGATCATTGAGTTTGTTCATGAGTATCTGTTTAATCTACCGCAGCACGTCTTTTCTATGTTTTCTGCGGATATTACGAAATGCTATGAGAATATTCCCATTGATGATTCTGAAGATGGGTTACCTAATGCGGTTAAATTTTTTGTGAAGCTGACATTCAAAGAGATGAGAAAACAATGCTCCCATTCATGGATCTGCTGCCGGATCAGAGACAATGGTACTGTATCCTGCCGTACAACTAATGCGACTTCAACCACCTCTGATAACGAACTCACTCTGTCAGAACCGATGGTAATAAAGTTGTGATCATGGCTGATGGAACATTGTTTTATCACTCTTGGCGGGACTGTTTGGTGACAAGTAAGAGGCATCCCTATGGGTCTGCCATCCTCACCAAATTGGTGCAATCTCTATTTTTTTTGAAGTATGAGTATCTGATGGTAAGAAGGATCCTCGCCTCTAACAATCCCGCTCTGGCCAGCCTTTTTAACTACTGTTACCGATATATTGATGATCTTCATGTAATCAACAACCCTCTAATTATGAAGTTCCTGGATCCCGGTCAGCTACGAAATAATACAAACCTTTTTTGGATCTATCCCCTGGATATCATTGAGATAAAAAACCAAACAGAATTATTCACTGAAGGGCCTGAAAAGAGTCTATTTGGACTCAAGACCGAGTTCCTGAATGTCGACATTTCGGTTCTCTGTGAGGCTTCTGGGAGATTCCGGACTACTAAGTTCGATAAGACCAGGAACCTCCCGTTCCCTGTAATTAAGTACATCAGAATGGACTCTAACCGACCAATCAACCAATCTATCAACCTCATGATAGGCCAGGTCGCCCTCGTAATGTCCATATGCAACTCGCCTACGGGCACGGCAAAAGAAGTCCTCCTGATCCTCGAGACTATGATAGGGAACGACTTTGACAGAAGAAAGTGTTTGAAATCGGTATATAGAGTCCTTGACAATCCGTCTTTATTCCTGTTATGACCCTGGCCAATTTCGAGATACACATCCATAGGGAAGTACAATGCCATCCAATTGCAGAAAGAAATGAATGAACTTGAGAGGAGAGAGAGGATTAGGAGAAGAAGAAGAAGTAAGAAAGAAGAAGAAGAAGATGTACACCAGTAAAGACAATGACAAGGCTCTTCTTCTTTGCCCAACAATCTCCTCCTCCTTTTATTCATACAATAAATAATAATACAATGTTGAATGACTGGTCCAGAATCACGTCTGAGTCCCTCTTCTACTGCAGGTATCACTCAAGGTCCACCATAGCCATGGCCGCCCCTCCCACAATTCACTCTCACAGGCCGAGGCTATGGCGGACTACTAGGCCTTGCTCCGATGCCCAAAGGACAACACAAAGCAGCTATGGCTGCTCGGACTCAGGCCACCATGCCCAACCCTGCCCTGAAGCTTCTTGGTGTGGCTCTCCCCAGCTGGGGACTTCTTGCTGCAGCGCCCACTAAGGTGATGAAGATGACTGCCACCATAGCCAGGTAAGTACCGCTGGCGCTCCTCCCCCTTCCTCCTTCCTTCCTCCTTCCTCCCTCTAGTCCTTCTTCTTCCTCCCCAGCAACGCAGCTCCAACCCAGCGCTGCTCCCTCCAGCGCTCCACCAGTGTGTCGCCAAACTTGCACACCGAAAAAAAGGCCGGGTCTTCCGCCCGGCCGGAAGATATAGTGGCCTGCTTTGCCTCTCGGGCGGTGACTTCCAGGCCGCTGGCCTTCCCAAGCAACCGGTACCTCCTCCTCTTTTGGAGGGAACATCATTGCAGACTCTGATATTGCCCCTACAGGCGCTAGACTCAGACTGGTACCCGCTAGACCTAGCCTACACTACCGGCCTCTAAAAATGCCACTTTTGTCTTCTTCTGCTCGACCTCCGGTACCTGCATATTTACCCCCCTGCCGGGTGCGGTACCGACCTACCCACTACTTGAGTGTTTTTTCGCTGCTGCAACCCTTCGAAGCCAAGGCCACAGGTAAGTACCGGCCCTGAGGGCCCAACGAACGAACAAGTGCCCTGACGGGCCACACACACACACACTCATACCAACCAGCACTCAGACAGGCACGGTCACACTCGCAAGCCAACCAACACTCAGACAGACATGCAGTCCAACAAGCACACACACACACAGACTTAGCAGGCGGGGAACTCAGTAGGGCATTCAGTCTATGAGCAAAACTCAGAAATCAGCTGTGTGTTTCAGTCCGTGTTTGGAGGGGTTATCACACTACCCCCCCCTCAAGAGCGAGGTCCCTTCGAGCGAGTAACTCATTCTGAGTCCTTGGCAAACGCATCGTAGGCGAGCAAGGCAAAGAGATTCCTGGAATACTCTGTTGCAGAGAGCCTTGCTGAGATCTTCGATGTGGCGTTAGCGGCGATCTGTCGCTCGTAAGCCTTAACAACGCGCGGTGCACTGTGTAGCAGTTCCTGTTTGGAGATCCAGTAGAGATCATCTAATGGGTGATACATGAAATGAACCTGGTACTGTCTGTTTCTCCCTTTACCTACATGCTGTTTAATTCTATCTATCTCATGCCCGCCCTTGATTGGGCGACGGATCATATCTTCGCGGTAATCGAATGTCCCGGCATCACGATCGAGGTACAGTTTAGATGCATGGAACATAGGATATGTGCGCAGGTGCGCTGGCACGTCTACAACGTACGAAGGGCCAAAGTGATCTTCCCCAATTACATCCAAAACTTCCCAAGACCCGTAGTATCGTGGGAGGAGTTTGCGTGAGACTCCCTCCTCCTCTGAGAATTCAAACATCATCACCCAGACATAGCTTCCTACCTGGATCTCCGATGGTCGGCGCTTTTTGTTTGCATGGTGGATCATGGCATGCTGTCGCTTGGTCATAGCTGCAACAACAACTTTGAGCAAGCGATCATACTTAGCCCTGAAGCCGGGCCTGCCGGGTGTTAGGCCAACTGACTGCTCAGGGAATAAGTAGGAGAGCGGATTACGGATCTGCCAACCGTTGTGCAACCTGTTGGGTGTCATGGCGGTGGCAGAATGGACAAAGTTGTTGTACAACCCCTTGATAGAATACAACTCTTCATCCCATGTTTCCTGATCCGGAATGATCAACGCACGGAGAAGTTGGAATATAGTCTGGTTGATCTCCTTAGCCAAACTGTTGGCTTCGGGGTGTCGGCCACATGTCATGCACAGTTTGATTCATAGGTGGGACGTGAAATCCTTCCATTCAGTGCTAATGAAACGCGGATCCCGATCGCTCATAAGAGTCTTTGGGGTTCCGAATTGCAGTAGATATTTCTGTTGGAATTCGCGAATCACTAGATCTGTTGGGGCGTGGGGCGGTAAAGGAATCAGATTGAGAAATTTTGAAAATCGGTCAACAATCACCATGACTTGTGAATACCCGTTCTTGCTTACCTTACCCATATCAGTGAAGTCGATGGAGACAGACTCCCCGGGACCATCAGGAATGTGCAGGGGTGTGAGTAGCCCCATGGGCTTTTGTCTACAAGGTTTGATTCGTTGACAGACTTGACATTCAGCCACAAATTTCTCAGCAGTCCCTTTCATGCAAGGCCAATCAAACTGTCTCAGCAGGTTAGCGTACATTTTTGCCATGCCGAAGTGCCCGCTCCAGCCATGAGCCAGGTCCAGAAAGTGTGTGCGGAGAGGCTCATGGTTTGGCACACACAAACGGTCATGGTTCCCGTAACGACGAAAAAGCAGTCCTCCATACTCATGGAAATCAGGCTGACTACTAGGATCAGCCCGCAGCTGCTCAGGGATGGAGCTAAGCTCCAGATCCTTGGCTGTCTACTCTACGAGCTCCTCCTTCAGTTTCTTCCGAAGGTCGTAGGATTTCACTAGGCAAGTCATGTATTCAGGGTGGCAAGACTGTGCGTCAGCGACTCGATTATAACAACCCTTTTTGTGTCTTAATTCAAAATAAAAAAATGTCAATCTCGTGGAACCAGCGAAGCAAGGTAGGGGACAGAGTAGTCTGCTGTTTGATCCACTTCAAGGTCTCATGGTCTGAGAATACTTTGAAGTGGCGTCCCAAAAGGTAATGTTTCCAGTGATCCAACGCCATACGCAAAGCGTAGAGCTCGTGCATGTAGGTGGAAGTGGCTACCTTTACGCTGGGCATTCGTTTGTTGTAGTACTCGAGTGGCCGGAGGCCATCGCCGTCATCTTGCTGCAGCACTACACGGATTCCATACTGACTTGCGTCCGTAGTAACTACGAAGGTCAGTTTGGGATCTGCAATGCGGAGTACCGGGTAACTTACCAAGGCTTCCTTGAGAGCTTGAAAAGCTTCCGTGCACGCGGCATCCCAGGAATAAGACTCATTTTTACTGGTTAGTCGTGACAACGGACGAGCAATGAAGAAAAACGGGGTACAAACTTCCGATAGTACGACGCGAGACCAAAGAAAGAATGCAATTCGCGAATGTTCGCAGGTTGAGGCTAATCACGTATAACCTCAATCTTGGTTGACTCAGGCTCTAAGCCTGCAGCAGACAACCGGTGCCCAAGATAGATGACGCTATCCTTCCCAAACTCAGACTTCTCCAAGTTGAGATGGAGATGCGTCTTCTTGAGGATAGCGAGCACCTCCTCAAGATGCTTGAGGTGTTCCTCCATAGACTTGCTGAAGATCAGAATGTCATCCAGGTACACTACCACAAACCGGCCAATCTGTTCGCGGAGGACCTTGTCCATGAGGCTTTGGAAAGTGGCTGGTGCGTTCGTAAGACAGAAGGGCATTACGGTGAACTCATAAAGCCCGTCGCGTGTCTTGAATGCAGTCTTGTGCTGGTTCGCAGGATCGACTTCAATCTGGTGGTAGCCAGACTTGAGATCGATCTTGGAGAAGATCTTGCACCCGCTTGCAAAATCAAGCAAATCGTCTATGCGAGGCAATGAATAAACGTTATTTTTCGTGATGTGGTTTAGACCGCGATAGTCAATACACATGCGGAGTTTGCCTCCTTTCTTTGGCACGAACAACACAGGAGCACCAAATTCAGATTCACTTGGTTTGATCCACCCTTTGTCAATCATCTCATCGATCTGTCACCGGAGTTCCTCCAACTCGCCGGCGTGCAACCCTTTGGAGGAACAACACCCTCGACCAACTCGATGGTGTGTCGAACCGGTCGCGTGGGGACTCCACGTGACAAGGCCAAGACTTCCGGAACCGATCGAGGAGGGTTTGGATGTCTGATGGGACAGGTGGGGGTGGGGAGTCAGCAAAAGGATCTCCAAGGTCCGGTCGCAAGTCGCGTATAGAAACGACCGAGACTATTAGAGGATAGAGAGATAAAAGTGCTAGTAGTAGAAGTACCAGAAGTAGGATTATCAATCAAAGTAGTAGTGGTATTAGCCGCAAAGTAGAAGGCACATGAGCAGAACGAACAAAGGCAACATACAACTGTTCTTCCTCTTTGTGCTTGCGCCACTTCTTGCAGAACTTCAATGCATTCAGAAAAGTCACTGGGGATTCGTGCTTCTCATCCAAGAGGACATGAAGCTCGTTCCCCTGAGCATCTTTGACCATGAAGAGTGATTCCTTCCACTTGGTCCATTCGCATTGGGACTGCAGCCATCCCAAGCCAAGGACAGTGTCGAAGGGGCACTTGTTAAGGACAAAGAAGTTCAGTGCATGGGTGACAGTCTTACCTCTGTCAAAGGTAGTGCGCACACCTTTGACTGCATGTGTTGAAGAGACAACTTCTTTGTTGCCAACTTGGGTCCAACAAGGGTTCTGCTGGGCCACTGGCTTCATCCCCAAGCCTACCTTGCGTATCCCATGTGGTGACATGAAATTAGTTGTAGCACCACAGTCAACCAACACATGGAGATAGCGGTGGTTGATGAGAAGTTTAAAGAAGATCAACTTCACTGTCCCTTGGGAACGCTGCTGTTTCATCTCAGCTCAATGCTCCAAGTGGTAGTGGAAGTCAACCATCTCAGACTCCTCCCAAGGCTCGACATACAAGACATTACTTACCTCAGCCTTGTCTTCAGCAGATGGTTGGGCTTCAGGGGAGGACTGCTGATTTTCAACAGAACTGGACTCCCCTGCTGCAGAGTTTGCTGAGTTTGACTCTACGCCCGATTATGGTTTCCCTGCAGCCTATAACAGTCCTGAACTTTATGATTTGGCTTTTGGCAACGCAGGCAACCCCCCTTCTTGAGTCTGCCCCGCCAGTCATTTTCAGTGATCCGGAGGCCAACCCAAGGTTTGGTAGTTGCATCCTCCGGTTTGGGCGGGATCTTAACTCCTTTGGGGAGTTGGACATAGTTTTTTTCGGCACTCCGATTCGGTCCCCTAGTGCTGACAATCTTTTTAAAGGCAGAAAATTTTTCTTCTTCTTTATTTGCGTCGGACTCAAGGGCCGAAGAACAAGTTGTATTGGAGTCCTGTTCTTGGTCGTCACCAAGAGTGGGGTTACCCGCATCGGCTTCTTTTTCGGCCTCTAACAGGTCATACACAACAAAACGGTTGCTGCCCTTGAACCGTCTGCCGCCCATGGGCTTTTTGCTGGCTGCCGTGCTAACGAGGTCCATAGCCTCCAGACTGACTACGTCCTTCATTAAGGCGAGCCAGTTAGTGTATGCAATGTAGCCCCTGCCCAGGCGACTAGTGAAGTTAGTTGGAACCGCGCCCTTAACCACATCCAAGCAAGATTGAGTGGACAATTTCAAACCAGGAGTGACAAACAGCTTGCTTAGATAGTTCTGCAGGCTTTTCATGGAGCCATTCCACTTGTTGTGCTTTCCTTTGTCTAGTATTCCGAGATAAGGAGCTCTTCGAGGGAGGCAACCGGGGTGGTCCTTAGCCATTTAGCTAGTGCAACTTTTGGAAACCCAGCCCGTGTTGCTTGGACTTCTGGGAAGTCCCGTACGACTGGCTCGATATTCATTCCCATGATCACCGCCTGGTTCTCAGGTTGAGTTCCTAGTATCTCAAGGTAGGCCCTCATGGAGTCGATCCAGGACGTGATGTCATCCTTGCTGTCGTACTTGGACGATATTTGTACCGCCTTCCGGTCCACGTAGGGACTGGCGTAGCTGGGACCAGCAGCAACTGGTTCCGGCCTTGGGGCTGCAGCAATTGCAGAAGTTCCAGCCTCATTGCTTGTTACAGCAACAGTGGAATCTGCACCTGGTGCAGGTCCCGAAGGGCTTGCCATCACACTCGAAGAAGAGGTAGAAGAAAATACAGTAAGAGGGGCAGAGGTGGTTTCGATTGCAGCTTCAGATCCAGGGGGTAGAGGAAGACGGTTGGCCACTTGGGCTTGTCGCAGGTCAGCCACCTCCTTTGTCAAGTCATGGTACTTGCGGGTCATATCAGTCACATCATCCTGAAGAGTCTGCAGCTCCACAAAGACTTCAGCGATCTGAATGGTATGATCCTCAAGATTCCGGACTTGAAAAAAGGCTGTAAGTATGGACTGCAACTGTTCCCCGCACTGCTCTTCAGTCAATGAGGGAATAGTCTCTAGGAGAGCTACTTGCCTTCTCAGCAAGGTCTCCTTCCTCTCCTTCTCTGACTCTTGTTCCCGTGTTATTACACCATCTAAGAGTGCTTGCAGATGAGGTTTCTCAGCATCACTGGCTGCATCTAACAAGGCCCGTTTCTCAAGAGGTTCACTCACCCTCGCGCTTTGACGAACACTCCTTTTCCCAGTCCTTGCCCACTTCAGACGATCACTTTCCCTCTCTCCCTGTTCTCTCTCCCTCCTCTCTCTTTCTTCTTTCAGATTGCGAGTCTCCACGGGCATCGGAAATGAACTCTGAAAAACAGATAAAGCTCAGAGAATAGAAGGTAAAACTAGCCGGAGCGGCATTTCATTTGGAAGTAGAGAACAACAAAAGAAACAGTCAAACTCAAAGAGAGGTCAGATCCAGCGACCCAGTCTGATCAGACTGCATACGAGGTCCTCTCGAGTCCAGTCTGACCAGCTCCGTGTCCGCACAACAAATCAGACAACGAGTAACTAAATGCAACAATGGAGAATTGAGTGGTGTACAGGTTGCGAGTCAAGCCACGGATGGTGCAATCAGAATACAAACGAAACGTCAAAGCCAAGATCCCCTCGGCAGTGGGTGTCCTATCCAAGAAGAATGAACTCACATCTCAGCCAAGAAGACAAGAGGTCAATGCCTAACCGATTTGGGTCCAGGGGCTCTCCTTGTTTGGGTCCGCTCCCGCTGGGTCCCAAGGGTCCCGCGTAGGTCTCAACCAGGTCCCAACCAAGAGGAGTCCCACCTGAACTTAGTTCAGTCTCTACTGCACTGAAAAACGAAATTTCAACTTTTGGCAGAACCTACAGACTACAACCGTTCAGTGATGAAAAGACAAAGCACTGTAGAAAGACTCGGCGTGTATAACAAGATACTTCATTTTCCATCCATCAGGTGAGTAGGTAGATCACATGCATTTAGCCACACAATCAAGACCACAGAGGAATAGGAAAAGAAACCCAGAGTACCCCAGCAGGACAATCAATACCATACACACATACGTGGGCATCCTGTAGGTGCAGGGCATTTACCTGAGTGGCCTTGAGCTTCGAGATGAAGAGAACTCACCCCCCTTCTGATATGGTCCTCCTGACCCATCTAACGCTACCCCTACACTAGTGTCCTATCTCCTAGGAGGGTCTCACTCCAACACCCAAGTGCAACGCCGGATCCCCCGTCGATGCTGAAGAACAAAGTAGCAACTTGCAGTCCGTTGATGCAGAATGGCCGCTGACCCTCAAGCTCGCCTACTTGAGGGCAGCCCTTAAGTTGCCAAGTGTCTCCCTTGAATCAGATTCCAGGTGCGATGGCCTCTCACTGTCGCCTCTCTCAAATCGCCGCATGAAGTCTCCTCGAAATGTCTCGCCACCCTAAACTCACTCTCAAGCAACCTGGTTAGGTTCTATGTTGACCCCACATGACCTAACCAGGTGGGGGCAGCTTCCCTTAGCCACGCTGCCCCACTTCCCTCATCCATCCAACCCTAACCCTAAGTGTTGCCCTCAATCACTTAGGTTAGGGTTAGGGCAGCAAAGTCAACTCTCACCAGCAAGTAGAATCCACTTTGACACCAATGTTATGACCCTGGCCAATTTTGAGATACACATCCACTGGAAAGTACAATGCCATCCAATTGCAGAAAGAAATTAATGAACTTGAGAGGAGAGAGAGGATTAGGAGAAAAAGAAGAAGTAAGAAAGAAGAAGAAGAAGATGTATACCAGCAAAGACAATGATAAGGCTCTTCTTCTTCGCCCAACAATCTCCTCCTCCTTATCTCCCCCTCCTTTTATTCATACAATAAATAATAATACAATGTTGAATGACTGGTCCAGAATCATGTTCGAGTCCCTCTTCTACTACAAGTATCACTCAAGGTCCACCATAGCCATGGCCGCCCCTCCCACACTTCACTCTCACAGGCCGAGGATATGGCGGACTACTAGGCCTTGCTCCGATGCCCAAAGGACAATACAAAGCAGCTATGGCTGCTCGGACTCAGGCCGCCATGCCCAACCCTGCCCTGAAGCTTCTTGGTGTGGCTCTCCTCGGCTGGGGACTCCTTGCTGCAGCGCCCACCAAGGTGATGAAGATGGCTGCCACCACAGCCAGGTAAGTACCCCTGACGCTCCTCCCCAGGTAAGTACCCCTGACGCTCCTCCCCCTTCCTCCTTCCTTCCTCCTTCCTTCCTCCTTCCTCCCTTTAGTCCTTCTTCTTCCTCCCCAGCAGTGCAGCTCCAACCCAATGCTGCTCCCTCCAGCGCTCCACGAGTGTGTTGCCAAACTTGCACACCGAAAAAGAGGCCGGGTCTTTCGCCCGGCCGGAAGATATAGCGGCCTGCTTTGCCTCTTGGGCGGTGACTTCCAGGTCGCTGGCCTTCCCACGCAACCGGTACCTCCTCCTCTTTTGGAGGGAACATCATTGCAGACTCTGATATTGCCCCTACAGGCCCTAGACTCAGACTGGTACCCGCTAGAACTAGCCTACACTACCGGCTTCTAAAAATGCCACTTTTGTCTTCTTCTGCTCGGCCTCCGGTACTTGCATATTTACCCCCCTGCCGGGTGCGGTACCGGCCTACCCGCTACTTGAGTGTTTTTTCCCCGCTGCAACCCTTCGAAGCCAAGGCCACAGGTAAGTACCGGCCCAGAGGGCCCAACGAACGAACAAGTGACCTGGCGGGCCACACACACACACACTCATACCAACCAACACTCATACAGGCACGATCATGTGACGCCCAACCTCACGCCCGGCGCGACTTCCTGATCAGAGTGGGGTGTGGGCCGGGAAGTGCGAAAAGGGGTGTGCCAAAGATTTTTGGGGAAAGTGGGGGAGTCTTAAGGGTATGAATGCAATTAGGCGAGTCAAGGGTGCATGTGCAAGGGATTCATGGTCTGATGGGGCCGAGGCACTGTGGGCGACGGGTTACGGGGAAGTCCGTCCATGGTGGAGGTGGTCCCGAAAAGTTAGGCCGTCGGGGCCCGCCACGTGGCGCAGGTCGCCGCGGGCCTGGGTTGGGCCTTCGGAATTCCAGAGTTTTCTGTTCGCCGCTACGTCGGCAATTCACACAAAACGTGTTGGGCCAATAGGGGGCTATGGCCGGCCACGAAATGACACTGAGTTGATGATACGGGAGAAGAAGACGGAAAGGAGGGAAACTGGTGGAGATGACAACAAATCCCGGGTGGGTGAAGTAGTAGGTGCGGTCGGGGGAAGGGAAATCAGAGCACCGAGGGTCGCTAGAGGTGGCGCAGTGGAATTCCCGCGGACATAGTCGATTCTCCGTGTGACAGGGGTATCGCGTCCTTATGAGCTCGTTTATGAGAGGGGTGAAATAGTCCGGGTCGTAGGATGAGTCTGTGCTCCAAGATCGCGTCATGGTATCATCATATAGGGAACAACTCGGTCGGGATATCGTCACCGTGAGCAAGCACGTGCAAGGCAGRCAGCCTCAGTGGCGCCTCAGCGTGCTTGTACGGGATGACGGTTCCGCCGCGAATCTTTTTGGGTGAGCGAGTCGACGCACGGGAATGCGTGTAAGGGCGCGACTCGGATCGCGTTTACACGTGTTCTCGTGCGGCGTTCGCGGGGCCAGACTTCGAAAGTTTCGATTATGCCAGATGCAACCATAGCACAAMCCCCATCGTGAGATAAGCAAAAACGAGAACAAAAATCGTTATCGGGGCCAGGTTCCTATCCCATCTACAGCTGCATCAGGTGTGAACAAAGATTCRAYACAAACAAAAAGCAAGGACGRGGGATTCTCAGCAAAAAGATAGACAAGCAGGCATAACGTCCACACATCCATATATTTGATAATCATACATATAATGCAAGCGGGAATAGCAAAGACAAGTGTGAGCAAAAACCCGAGCTCAGATTTCAGAAAGCCGAAACGAAAATAAGAACGGGCAAACCGCCCGGAGCCGCAATCAAAATGTATGTACACAGATGAAGAGGGGGAAGAGACAAAGAAACAGCAAATCCACGCCCATCGACCTCAACTCTCTCCTTCTCTCTCTCTCTCCGATGCRGATAGTCCGTCGTCACGCACCAGCCCACAAAGTTGTCACCCCGCTTAGTCCTTCCGCACCCGTCGGATTCGCCCGTRCCCACAGTCCGTTGTGGCCCACGTCAATCCTGCGCGTTCGGCACCGGCCCGTCGGGTCGCCCAACTCCTATTCTACTCACCTCTTACTTCGCTCGTGTGCCGACCCTTCCTGATCGCGCAACCCCGAACTTCCAACAACGGGTTAAGAGAGCTGACTAATCGCGCARCAGAAATTTATAGCGTGCATGCATGCGTGAAGAACASGGAATTACCAGGRCTTAAGAGTGAAGATTAGAGAGGGAGCGCCTGCGTTCTACATGATCGAGCCGTGACGTGGGAGACGTAACCCTTCTCCATGCATCGATCCGGGCATGCAAACCGCGRCCTACARAAATTTCAGCAAAAGAAAGAGAGGGAGGGCSGGAGRGACGAAGTGCAAGAAGAAAGRTACAGTTACAATGGCGCCYGCCCAAAATTAYAGTTACACACACGATTRAGGGCGCCCTCTAATCAGAGTACCGTTACAGCCGCATGAAGAAGCGCGTAGACAAAAGGCGCCGCSCGGCAGAAAAAAGTCCTAATTACCGAATTCCTAAATTCCTATCTAATGCGAAAAAGCAAAAAGCACAAATTCCAGAAGGAAAGTCCAAAATTCCAAGAGCCATCRGGGGGGGGCTCGACAAAATTCGAAAAAGACCCAAAGGAAAAATTCAAAAGAACGAAGCAATTTCCCTCGCGATGTCCGCGCCCAAAAGATCAAAACCGAAACGAAAGAAACGACGTCAACATTTATTAATCGCGCGGGCGGTGGCGCGCCAGACATCCATCCGACCAATCACTCAACCGGCCGTCCCAGGACACCCCCAGCCCCGAAGACGCGACGAAAAAGACGAAGAAGCAAGGGTACTGATGCAATTTTCCACCGATCTCGATTTCCCGTAATTGGCCCAAT